CGTAATAAGGCTGCGATTATCCGCACAGATTATTCAACCGGTCGCCACCGGTTGCCCCCTGTCCACCTCCCTTTTTCGATCTCGACCGCTCGTGTCTCGTGTTTCGTGTCTCGTGTCTCGTATCTCGTGTCTATACTTAATGCATATAGACGTATCGCGATCACATGCGTGCACCAATTTATCCGTGATAACCGGCTTGCGTTAGGTTGCAAAAGAATCAACCTCGAGGCCGTTTCCCTTCTCGATAGGATACTCGAGAACCACCTTGCGCCATTCTTCTTCTCTCGCGCCGTTCTCCCCTTTTTAACCCTCGGACAGCGAATTGTTTTATGTTCGCACGCACCGTTGTGGACGGGGGCGAATTTCACTCGGCTATTTCTTTTGCTTAATATGCGGGAGTTACTGAATTTTCAAATGTTTGACTTTCTATATAAATAGCTGGAAACATCGGAGAGCAATAAAGTTATAATTACAGTCGTAATTTATAAATATATTTGACGCTTAAGTTCGTATTCATTTCGTTTCATTGGTTATTTTAACTTTTTAATTTGCCTTGATGTATGATTGCTAAATGGGGAAATATATTTATTGTTGTATTTTGTAATTGCGCAGTTATTCCCTTTCATGTCTTAACGACACCGTTTAGATTAAAAGTTAAAATTAGTTTATCAAGTGAAACGTTTAATAGAATATGCATGTGTAGTACGTTATAAGAAGATACCTTTTGCGTCAATTAGTTCACTTTGATTACGTCAATCTATTAAGATTTTCCCGATGAATTTTCATGATTTTAATATTGCAATTATTCATAAAAGTCTCCGTACACTTTATACGTTGTATCAAATTTTTATTAATTAATTAATCTACATTTTTTATAAAATAATTCTTAATTCTTGTGAATTAAGTTCATCAAGAAATTTGATACAATTTTACTTGTTGGAAAATGTACGAATACTATTCGTGACTATTTCTGAAACAACGTTTTTTATCAAGAGACCACAAATCTTCGTGACCAAAAATTTCCTATTTTTACGAATGCAGTCAAAGAAACGGAACCTTCACTAATTCAGGTCTTTTTCGAATATTCCACGCTAATATGTAACTCGGAATGGAACTATTAAGAAGAATTATTAAATTCTTTAATATTATAAACAGCCTTGTAATTTCACTACACGATACGTTTCGTTTTTTAAGTATAAATGACTTTTAAGGCCAGCAGTACAATTTCAATGCTTTGTATACTTTCACATATTGTTTGCATTCTCTGTGGTTTCCCTCTTGTAAATTCTCTAAAAAGAAAAACGAAGTAAAACTCAGGGAACGAAAAGACAAAATCGAAGCGGCGACAGAAACTCGACTTCCTGTTTGCGCAGGATCGACGTATGTTTGTTCTTGGTTGTTGTTGGTAAATGCTGTTTAAAAAAAAATGAAATACCTCGGTATTTCTGCGATATAAAATGAACTCGTACTGACACAATACCGGTTTACTGTTCTAATCAATTCAACATAAAAAATAACAAGAAATACGAAGATTGGAAACGTATCGATCATCAAGAAATTTGTTATAATCAGCGGGACATTGAAATTCAGTATCATTAAAAATTTCGAATTCGAGAGTTGCATAAAGAAAAAGATCCAAGAAATTACTATGATAGGTATCTTTCGGACTTTGTAATTTATTTCGTTGTTTAACTACGAACGTTCATTTTATTGTAATACGCTTTTTATT